ATATTTAGCATTTAGTTTAAAATTATTTGCTAGATTTTATTTCAAAATCGATGAATTTATATTTCATTAATGGATTGAATTTATTTAACATATTATGAGACAATAAAATGGCCTATTTTATTCCGCAAAGTTCGTACATGTCTTGGTCTTCCATGTAGGCAAGATACACATGGGTGTTACCCTCTAGGACTGGAAACTTGAGATATTTGACCAATTAAAAGTTTGGCAGGAATTTAATGTCTTGGTCTTCCATGACTCGAGGCTTACATTTTGCCAAAACTTGTGCCAGAAACAAATGACCAACTGAAAACATAAAAAAAGGAATATTAATAAGCACAATTCTAAGGCTGCTAAGTCCAATTGAATTAGAAGCATAAGCTCCACATTCCCTTTTGGTGAGATTAGTAGCCAAAAATTATGTAATTGATATACTGTTGGGAGATATCCTCTTAATGTTCTTGCTACTCTAATTAAAGTTAACGCATTAGACAACTCTCTCGCTTTGCTTTGCGATAATTAAATTACTCGACTTTCAAATTTTATGTTCAAATATTATCAAATAGTCATGTTACAAACACACTTTTATTTATAGTTCAAAGAAGTAAAGAAGAACAAAAAGATAATAGACTCATTCGAGGGAATTCAAGCCTCTCAAATGATCAACAAGAGATTTGCATTTTCTTTCTCAGATAATGAATCCGGATCTGTTACTTTTGCCGTCTATGGAGAAATTACAAAATAACTTTCCTAATACTTAGGGTACGTTTTGTTTGGCCTTGTTGTTAAATCATTACTGGCGTTTACTTGGAAAAATATGCAACTCGTGTAAATGTGCAACAAAGACTATTCTAGTTTTTAATCTTCCAGATGCGTGCTTTTGTTTCTCAAGTTGGATTTCAAGGAGCAAATAATCCCATGCTTCATTGGCTATATATAACCCCACGTGTTTTGCTACATTTTGCATCACTTGGTGTAATAACTTCTTGAAGCAAAGCAAATATGGCCAAGTTTCTACACTTTCTCCTTTTATTCATTGTGGTAACAATGTCAACATATTCATCTCAAGCCCAAAACTCCCAACAAGACTATCTAGACGCCCACAACGCTGCACGTGCCCAAGTGGGTGTTGGACCCATGGTATGGGATGATAAAGTAGTAGCCTTTGCTCAAAACTATGTCAATCAGAGG